ACTGTTTCTTTTTACATAAGCAGGGATCATTCTTGATACTTTCCCGCAGAACAAAGTCAAATATTATCTAACTATACACCAGTACATCCATCCCTAAAAGGAAAACCACGTAGGATTCTATTCTAACACATGGATTCAGACCAAGCAGATCAAATCATGCTCTTCAACAAAAGAAATCCATGCATCTTAAACTCTAAAGGCCATTTGTGTCCCCTCTCAACCAAGCGAACTTTACTACTTCTTGCCCACATGGAGTCCTATTCTTTGCAACTTCCTTGCTTTACCTATTTTAAGTTTTAAAATGCTTTACGTTGCAAGTCTGCAAGTTCCTTGAGATCTATTTAGAATTAGTTAGGGCAGCAGTTGGATTAGCCTGAAGCAGACCTCGAGGGTCAAGATGGATATTTGAAGAATGGTCCACTGGGATATAAATATAAAGGTATACTTTCAGTATGGAGATCAGTCTGTGAGAGGAAAAAGCACGTAACATTAAAAAACCAACTAAGACTATGATGCAGTGAGTTCTTCTAAGTGGAGGAGGGATGGCAGAGGCAGTGAGAACTGGGGACTCTGAGAAGCAGGTTAGAGGTCTCTATTCATAGGAACACAGGCACATCAGGAAGAGGAAGGACAGTACCAACTTCCCAAGCAGCCAGTAAGATACTGACCCAAGTTCCTTCTATCTCCTCCTCCAGCTGAGGCAGAAGTAGTTCAAGGCTACAGCACACGGACATGGGGGTTGAGTAACCCCGATTTCAAAGGTCAGCATGATACGGAGTCAGGGATACCTGTAAGTCACTGTAAGTAAAGGTTATGTCTTTCATAGAATCTCACACAGCTCTTGACACAGACTAGGAATATTGTGAGCTGTTACAATGACTCCCTGTGTTAATGTTATAAATGCTTTCATTGCATTGAATGTCTTTAGGTTGTACATTTACATCAGTATCTCCCTAAATTCTTAAATCTGGTGCTCACTTCCAAACAATGGATTATGTTACACATGTAGCATTTGCCCAAATTCCTTACCAATCCTTTGAACTATGTCCCCTGTTGTCCCCACACTGTCACAAGCAACCATCGTCATATGTCCTTCCTGTGTTTGAAGCTGGCGCTTTACCTAGAAAGATTTTTTTTTTCAGTTCTTTGTAGCACAGGCTGTTTGTTCTCACATAACCCCAGGGGTCTGGAGTTAACACTGGCCCCCTCTTAGCTCTCTGTTGCTAATTTTAGGTTATTATACTTTCTTTCTTTTAAAGTAATCTCTATACCCAACATGGGGCTCGAACTCACAACCCCAAGATCAAGAGTTGCATGCTTTTACCAACTGAGCCAGCCAGGTGCCCCATACGCTATTATACTTTCAAAACACTCCTCCTTGGATGCCTTGACACCTGCCTAGACTATCCCCTATTTGTCTTTATAGCTGTTACCTTCAGACCTCATGGTCACTCTAACACATAATGGTCCTCAAAGTTGGCCATGCATTAAAATAATCTGGAAAGCTTTTGAAATCTACCTATGCTGAGATCCTATTGCAGACCAATTCAATCACTTTGTGGGCATGGGGACAGGCATCAGTATTTATTTTTTCAATTTCTTAGGTGATTTCAATGTGAAGCCAAAGGTGAGTCGTCTGTTCTAACACAAGAATCAAGGACTTCAGCTCTTGCCTTCCCAGTGTCCAACTCTTACAGCCATCAGAGAACTTTAAAATCCAAGAGAACAACCTGTCCACCCCTCTGGGTCCTAATTCCTTGGCCAGTTCAATTCGAGTAATGTGTCCTTCAATTGCACTTCAGCTCTAATACACACTCTGTGAATTTAGCAGAACCTCAAGTTGCCTGACATCTGAAGTATTGAATAAGCAAAAGGATCTGTGGACTTACAGGCCATAGTTCCAGCTTGTTAGCTCCTTTAGTGTATGACACCCTGCCTCCACCTGGGTGTGCATGGCTTCCTGCAACTATCCAGAGAAGCCTGCTTTCTAAGGCGGCCAGTCTTCTGATTGCATGCCCTTTCCAATCTGGCAGACCCTCCGTGGTGTGTCTGTCACTCCAGTGACTCTCTTAACAACAGGATCAAGTCTCTTATCCTCTTGTGCTTGATCACATTCACAACTGCCTCAACTATGTATCATACCAAATATGCCTTCTCCACTGCTAAGTACTGAAGAAAAAAAATCCAACTACACAGAATTACGCCCCCTACATTTTTAGAGTATCCAAACAGCAGCTCTCAGCACTATTCATGAACCTGTGCATGTCCCAAACGAGCTCCTGTTCCTACTGCCCTTACAGGTGCTCTGATGGTCACTATTCTTCCTAACTCCTTTGACCCTCCCTTTTGAAGTGGACCTCCGTTAGGTTTTGGAGAACATAACGATATCCTTAATTTCTAGACTTCCGCTCTATCAACATCTCTGCATCCCTCACTGATGTAGAGGGGGCACTGCTCTAAGTTCAGCACTGCTGACATTTTTGGCCAGATAATCCTTCGGTGGGGTGGGGGTGGTCCTGTGCATTCTACATGTTTAGCAATATCTATGACCTCCGTCCGTTAGATGCCAGTAGTATCCCTCCCACATGCATATATTTGCAAAAACATCTCCAGACATTGCCAAATGTCTCCTGGGAGGCAAAATCACCCTAGGTTGAGAACCCCTGCTCTAAGCCAAGACTAATTTATCAACCTGTCCTTCTGATAAAAACCTCTTGCTTCCTCCAAGATCCATGTGTGCTTTATCTATCTCCAACCTGAACTGCTCCATTGGTTTTATCTCCCTAGTATATAAATTTCCATGTCATTCCACTTACTTAAAAAGTCATCCCTGGAAGTGTGTCACCCACAAGTCACTGTGTGACTTTTTTTTCTCCAGGTGAAGCTCGGGGAATGACTTCCATGAGCTCACTTGCTGAAGCTCCATTCTACTCTCCAAACCTCGGCATACCAGCATCAATCACTGATATTTCTGCACGGGTGCTAGAGTTCTCCTGCTCACTATATGCTCACACACACTCACTGACCGTCTCTGACACTACTGACTATACCCTCCTTGAACCTCTCTTCTCCCCTGGTTTCCAGGGCACTTTTTTCTGGTTCTTCCTTCCACTTTGATTATTCTTTCTTAATCTCTCCTCCTCCTCAGATTGTCCCGGAAATACTAGTGTTCATTTGGGATTCTGTCCCTGGCCTTTCTCTCAGAACTCAACAATATTTGTTTTCTGGGCTATCTCCTTCATTACAGGCTTTGAGGCTTCCTGCTATAATATAATGAATACACTAATTCCTCCCCATGTGATCTGAAGCCCTACCTTTTCTCAAATTCCAGTCCTGCATGTCAGACTCCCTAGGGAATATTTGTACCTGGGAGCACTACAGACACCACTAACCAATCAAGATACCTAAAATTGAAGTCACAGCCTACTCCCTACCACTGCCTTTCCCTAGATCCCCAAATCTTCCTTATTCTTTTATTATTTCTGGATACCACCATCCATTCAGTTGTATAATAAGCCAGGGCTTTAACATAATATTCCAATTTCCCTAGTCATATCCAATCATAAAATCCTTTTATTTCAATGGTTTCCTAATGAATTTCCCTGACCCAGGTCTTAGATATCTCTAATCCAACCACTATGTTGCCACCTGAGAATGTATTTTTAACATGCAAATCTGTCCATGTCACTCCCTGGACTACCTCCTCTAGGGGATCCCCTTTGTCTGAAGGATTTACAACCTAAGCATCTCAGCAGAGCACACTAGGCTCTCCATGGCCTGGCCCTTGCATTTCTCCTGGCCCTTGCATTGGCCCCTAAGCTCCCAAAGCAGCACCAACCGTACCATATCACACCTTTCTCAAGTTATTCCCTCTGCTAGAATGTCTTTTTCTAAGATTATCTACAGAGCATATGCTTTTTCACCCTATAAACCTATAAGCTCAAGCATGACCCCCTCTGGAAACTCTTCCTGGACTTCCCGGGGCACATTTAAAAGGTTTCTTCCTGGGTGTTCCTAACCCTAACCCAGTGCATTGTGCACATATCTTCGTTTTAGTTCCTGCCAGAGACCGTTGGACTTGCCATAGTCACCCACCAGCCTGCAAGCTCCTGATGGGCAAGTGCTTTGCCTACTCAATCCTGTTTCAGTGAGGACTAATAGAATGCCCAGCATGGAAGGAAGCACTCAATAAATATGGCTAAATGATTGAATGACACATGAGAGGTTCAACTGTCAAAACACTCTCCCGGGGAGGGTGGGGGGGAACCCAACTGTATCGTGACATGGTATTCGTATATGTCAGTTCAAGGAGTCAAGAAGTGAAGTTATTCAGCCTAAGGCAAGAGCTAATGTTACATAATAAAATAAGTTTAATAGGTAATATGTATGATGGTACAGTGCTTATTAAGCTTTTCTACCAAAGTACTGCTATCATCAAAAGAATACTGACTGATATGCCTGGAGGATCTGATGGCACAGGCTAAAAAACAGGACATTTCTCTAGCTAATATATCCATATTCATTTTAACTTGAAAACATTTCTGAATTACTAGCAAGTAAGAGGAATGCTCCAGGAAAGTAGCACATGCTTATTCTGTGGGCCCTGATGACCTTTAGCATTGCTGCGCACTCCTCAGGTGGCGTCGATGACAGTGCCGGCATCACAGTTTAGAAACAAGTGTACACTGGAAATAGCTCACACTTCAAGTCACAAGTTCCACTCTGGCTCCATGCCCCATCACTTAGGCTATGACTTGGGGTCTACTTTAATCTCTCTGAGCCTCCTTGGTTTCCTTATCTGGAAAATGGCTATAATAATATTATAATAATAATTGTAGAAATAATATTTGCCTTATATATTCCATAATGTTGGTGCCAATATTAAAAGAAATAATAATGTAAGCAATGAGATATATAAGCATGAAAAATGAAGTAATATTTTATACAGAGAGAGCGAAAATTAAAGTTCATACGCAATCCATATTCATGAAAACATTTACCTTTTGAGGAGCTGAAGAAGGTTTTTCCATTTTGGTTTTTTCCTTTGGGGTTAAAGGAGGGGATCGCTCCTTTATCTCTGGAGGCAGTTCTTGATATAATGCTGGAATTGAACAAGGAGTACACATAATCAAACTGAGGCGCACTTGACCCATGGGGGGAAATAAACAGCGATGGAGAAGGGGGCAGATATGAAACTAAAGATCTTGATATTCACTTCCTTTGTATAACAATAAGCAACCTAATTTATGATTGGAAAGTTTTCATCAGCAGGATTTCAGAAACGTAAAACATGTCATTTTCACTTATTATGTGGTCATGCCGATACTTGCTTATTTTATCTCAATTCACAGTCACCAGGAACCCGCTCTCTGCAAGGTTATCTGCTAGGTACTGCTGGAGGAGACAGAAGATGCTCAAAAGATAGTCTCTGCTCTCAAGGAGCTTACAATCTGGTCAGAAACAGACATGTTCACAAGTGAGTGTAACATGCAGTAGAATGTGGCATTATTCAAGAGAGATAACAAAAACAGATTCTAATATGGATAGTAAATGCTCAATGCAAGAAGTGGTAGGTGTGTCAGGCTCCGAAGAACAAGTAGGATTTTTGCCAGGCAGAGGTGTAGACAAAGAATAATTTGGGAAGATGGTACAAAATAAATGAGCACGGGGCTAGGGCTATACATAACCTTGAATCTGTTCACAGGGTTGAATCTGAGATTATAATTCATATAATCTAATTACTCTACACACAGTATGGACTCTAAAAAGTTATTTGGGAATTTTCAAGGACTAAAAAGAAAATGTGTTTCAGTTAAATGACAACCCTGGGCAACTCTGAATTGAGAGAAATTGGTAAAATACACTTGATTGCTATTCTACAATTGTAAGATATATTAATTGGCTTTGTGTATGGGTTGATTTTATTATTAGCTTCCTTTATCTCTTATTGGAAAGGATGTTAGATGTCATTAAGTGAAGCTGTTCATGTTTTTCTTTCTGGTGGCTTAAGATACAAAAGAAGTTCTTTATAATGATGGGGGGACTTCTATTGTGTCGTTCTCTTAGAGGACATGGCTTTCAACTGAATGGTTGGTAGAGAGTCTGTTTACATCTATACACTCCCTTAGAGCATTTGCTTTGCATATTTGGCTTCAGATAAAGGACAATTTCTCCTACTATTTTTAGAGTGGAATATGCTGCTGATGGTTCCCCCCCCATGTTAAAACTGAGCAGGTGAGTTTTTGTTAAAGTCAGGTTATAAAGTAGGATAAAAGGGAAAAGAAGATAAGCCCCGATGAAGTGAGAATTCAACCATTATATTCTCAGGTTTTCTGAGAATTCTTTGTTCTGGCCTTTAAAAGGCTTTTTCAAGAAGCAGTGACTGATGCCACAAGAAAGTATTAATTCTTCTGGGATACAGTAAGGAATTCTGGTAGTCGGAGGATGGTCACTACTTGAAACATGGAATTAATTTCTGCATGCGGCCACCAAGCATCATTGCGGTACGCTTTAGAAGTCACACTTTGGTTATTATGGGAAAAAAAGCTAATTTCAACGGATTTTTAACCCACTGTGGATCAAGTATCTATAGCCTCTCAAGATTCATAAGCCTAAGAGGTTATTTCTGCAAACTAACTAGATTCTAAAGTTAAAAATTTAATACTATCCTCCCTGGAAATACACACATCACCTTTATACTGTCTAAGGAAAAAAGAGTCTAAATGTTTCCACTCGTGTCTGGAACAAACAATGGACTGTAATACCTAGTGAAAATTACAGACAGTCTGGAGGAGCAACTATGATTGTGCAGGCAGCTCTCTCGATTTGAAAATGGAAGCTACTCCTGCTGAACTAGAGCTACTGAGCCAGTGGGAAAGCCTCACGGGAAGGGGAGGGAAGAAACTGGGACATGTGAGGCGACCTGGAAGTGACAAGTACTGAGCTTGTGAAAAATGACCAGGAATTAACTTGCCCTAAAATTTCTTCCTTCCACACTGCCTTAATTTTTCTCCATTACGTATCCTCTTTTGAACATTAAAAATAGCTTAAGAGCTCTCATCATTTACTACTCAGAGAAGAAGAATTGTAACAGTGGCACGGAGGAAATGAAGAATTTTGTTACGAGGGAGAGAAGTGGGTAATTTCTGAGATGCTTAGCACTTTTGAGGGGAGGAGTTTGCTGAAAGCAGCAGATAAGCTGAGGGAAAGAGCTGCAGAGACAGGAAGCCCTGGAGAATGGGGTGGGGGGGGGCCTGGGAATTACCAGGGTGCAGACAGGGGGGTGGGTGCAGAAAGAGAACTAATTTCATCTGTGCCTAGCCCACCACCCAGTACTCATGGAAGAAATTATTCTTCCCGTTTTCCTTCATCTCTTTTGCTTTCAAAATTCAGAAATTAGGTTAGGAATCAATCGTACTTTTGTTTAGCTAGTTTGAGTTAAATGGGGCTTCACAGACAAGCCTGAAAGTCAACTGTTATTTATAGTAATTTCTTCCTTGCAGAAACAAGACTTAACAATAATGATTCAAAGTGGAATATTCTCAAGGCTGCCTATACTACATTTTAAACCAGAACTATACAATTTCAGTGTTTCTGGAAGGAAACTTAGAGGTGACAGAGCTCAACTTCCTCATTTTACAGGAGGAAACTGAGGCGCATCAGTATTAGTACCGCGTTTTCCTGACCTTTTGAGTACTGGGCTTTCCTACCACACTACTGAGGGAACTGTTACTAGGAAGCATTCTTCTGAGGAAGCACTGCTACACTTCTCCCCTTTCTTCAGTCTTCAAGCTATTTTATCTCCAGGCTCTCTGCATCAGTTCTATCTGCATCTCTCAAGGCCTGGTAGTAAATCTACAGCTCTCACCAACTCCTGTTTAGAAGTTCTCCTCCAGGTCATTTCTTTGGCCTTTCACAAATGGGGACTTGATTTACGTGAGAATGAAACAATCAACTGCAGGTCTGTTTTAACAGGTTCCAGCTGGAACTGAGGCATACAAAGTCAAAGGACGGGACTTGGGGAACTAGAGGTTCTGCCGGGCCTGTCGGCTGAGGAGTCACTGCGGCCAGAGAACAGCCAACATAACTGTGTGGAGCAGGCGGGGGGCAGAAAGGGCTGAAGGATGTTGGCGGCCAGACAGGCAGGGCCCCCGGGATAAGTCTGTGAAGCAAATATTCCAATCTCAGATCGGAGTAGCTTTCTAGTGTATTACTGCCCCCTCTTTTTTATGTATGTATGTATTTATTTATTTTTGCATCACGAGAACGAAAAGCAATACCCACTGGTAAACATAAGCAAAAGGGTAAATTAAGTAAATTAAAGGGTAGCAAATGATAAAATCTTGGACTATCAGTTATACCATATTAGTAAACCAGGAAGGGAGCATAAAACTTACTTTCACTAGCCACATGATTAGCTGGAAAATAACCTTCCTGTCCCTTTCCTACGCTGCCATACCACCAGTCTTCATTATCTTTGAAAAACACTCGGATAATGTCTCCGCGATGGATGGTTAGTTCATCTGATCGATTCGCTGTGTAGTCATAAAGAGCCACTACCTACGAGAGAGATAAGACCACCACAGCTTTATCACAACTGTACCACAGAGAAAACCCCCAACATTCACTTCCTCTTGCAGAAGAGCAGCTGAAACCAAAGCAGTACTTTGGTAAGTCTGAGGCTGTCTCAAGGCTTGCTAATGGGATCAGGGGTGGTGGGAACACAGCAGGAGAAGCAAGATAAAAGACTGTGGGATTGAGAAATGGTTAAGAGCATTCAATACACTAAGATTAGCTTCAAAATAGCAGATGTTAATTTTTTTACAAGTGAATTACTTGTGAAGCAAATAAAAAAAGGCTCACACACCATTCACTTTCTTAGAATTGTTTTATACTACCTTTAGATCCCATTCTCCCATCTCTAAGCAGATGTACCTGAAAAAAAATTCTTCTGAATGTCAACAATTTTATAAAAAGGAAAGAGCAATGAAACAACCTGATTACATAACTTCATTGTGATCACTTGGTTAACTGTTAATGTTTCTTTTTAACATATATTTCCCCACAAACACATGCTTTTTGGTATTTTATATCAACAGTCTAAATCTTTTGACTACTTTTAAAATACTCTTATTACGATTACTTTCACTAGATACAATTTTAAGAGGAAAAGCCTTTCTACAAGAACTCTCTTCTCTGTATTGTACAGTAGTCACTGTATTTGATTTTTTTCCTTTTTTAAAAGTTAAAATCAAAACAAATGAGTGCACAGAAACTTAAGAAATTCCTTATAGCAGTTATAAGGGGGAGGCAGACCTTAATCCATTTTATATGTCATGCATTGTATAACGTAGGATATAGTATGTATACTAAAGAATAAACTACTTCTTTTCCTACTTAAATGGGATTTGAAAATTAACAGGGGTTGCCTGGGTGGCTAGCGGGTTAGGTGTCTTACTCTTGATCTTGACTCAGGTCTTGATCTCAGGGTGGTGAATTTAAGCCCCACACTGGGCATGAAGCCAACTTAATAAAAAAAAAAAAATTAACAGGTTATACAACTATATATGTAATGGAAAATTATCATTACAATCCTTTGCATTTAGGTTGAGTACTAATTCATTTACTTAACAAGTATTTACTGAAATCCTAACGTGCCTGGTACTAGGCTAGGGGCTAAATATACAACAATATAGGATCCTTTCTAGAAGGGTTACCTCATTTAGGCTCTGCAGGAGAATAAAGGATAATCAGGAATTGGCCAGGAGAAGAGATGGAAAGCGTGTCTCAGGCAGACTGTACTGCATGTGTCAGAGTCCAGGGAAGAGAATCCCAAAATAGTTCAAATTGGTGGGAGCATGAATTAGAGGTAAGAGCCCAGCTAGCCAGGTGGGGGAAGGTGAGGCTGCAGGGGTAAGTAGGGACTGAAGGAACATGCATGCTGCAGGAGCCCATACTCATACTGTGGGCAATGGGAAGAGACAAGGGTTTTAAGTAGGAGATGCTGTAACAGTTCACAAAACTCTGGATGGTGCCTTTTAATTAATTTACAATATTTATTAACACATTAACCAGGAAATTTTAATGGATAAATCTGGAATTACCTGCTGTCACGATATGTTTTTTTAAAGATTTTATTTATTTATTTGAGAGAGAGAGAATGAGAGATAGAGAGCACGAGAGGGAAGAGGGTCAGAGGGAGAAGCAGACTCCCTGCTGAGCAGGGAGCCCGATGTGGGACTCGATCCCGGGACTCCAGGATCATGACCTGAGCCGAAGGCCGTCACTTAACCAACTGAGCCACCCAGGCGCCCACGATACGGTGTTAGAGCAGTAATAATAATTCAAGTCAGATATGGTACAACTGCCATTCCAACTGTACTGCTTAGAACAGTCTATAATTCACAACATGTTCTGCAGGATGTTGTTTCAAGTTTACAAATACTTGTAATTTTGAGTGTATTGATGCCAAATCATTTATGTAAAAGCAGAACTTTTAACTCTTCCCTTCCTTCTTTTGTCTCCAAACCTTTTCTCCTTTATTCTCCTACTTGGTACTATCACAGAAAAAGAAAGCTAATGAAAATGTTCTGAGTGCCTGCCACGTTCTAGGTACAGTGCTAGTGGCTTACGTGAGTGCTTACACAATCTGTAGGACAATCCTGTGACGGCATGAATTCTTATTCCAATTTCATAAATGAGGAATTTTATGCACAGAGAAATTTAGTAATTTGACTAAAGTCAACTATGAGTTACACTTTATTTTTTCAAAACTACATACATTTATAGGACATCTCAGTTTAGAATCAAACACGGGGAAGCAGCAGCAGAGAGGAAGGGAGGGACAGAGATCCTAATCCCTCATGAAAGATCAGACACGTTTTTGGGTGGCACCACTTAAGCGGTTGGCTGTGCTGACAGGATCAACAATCCCGGGTCACCTGCAGGCCCACTGTGCTCCTTCCAGACACCTGCAACCCAGTCCTAGAAAACTGTAAGGATCTGCCCTGCTGTTCCTCATCCTGGCTCTGGTACATGGAAACAGCACAGTTCTGATGAATCTTACGGAAGTAGGAAGTCCGTGTATGCTTATTTCTCTGGACTCAGAGGTGGCTGCTGGGAAGAAGAGCAGGAGAGATTCAGCTTAGGCAAGAGAATCGTTCAGGAAGTCCCATATCAGGCTTGTGTCCTTGGGTGGACTTTGATAATGTGGAATTCATCAAACTGGAGTCAGAAAACCTCTTCTACCAGGGTCAGGTGATAAGAGTTCCTTCAGAGATACAGGGGTCCAAAGGACCTACAAGATCCTAGATTTCCATTTTCCTATTAAAGTATCCATGGATTACCCGCCTCATAATACAATCAAGCATAGCACACCAGTTCTACATGGTCTTCTAGTCCTGGTAAATACATTCCACCCTCTACGTCCCTGCTATGGACTGAATTGTATGCCCCCCACCCCAAATTCATAGGTTGAAGCCCTCACCAGGTGACTGTATTTGGAGATAGGGCCTTTAAATAGATACTTAAGGTCAAATGAGGTCTTATGGGTGGGACCCTAATCCAATAGGACTTGTGTCCTTATAAAAAAGAGGAAATGGAAGAAGCACAGCCAACCGTGCACAGAGCAAAAGGACACAGGAGGACACAGTGAGAAAGCAGCTGTCTGCAGGGCAGGAGAGCGGTACAAGAGAAACCGACGCAGCGGGCTACTTGATTTTGGACTTCTAGTTTCTGGAACCGTGAGCAAATCAATTTTTGTTGAAGCCCTCAGTTGATGGTACTTTGTTACAGTGGTCCTGGCAGACTAATACAGTTCTACAACCTGATGGTGTCAGATGAATCACTCTCTACCGCCTGTCATGGCACCACCACTCACCAATACCTCACTTCTAGCCATTTTAGGTCCTTAGCAGCTTACAGTACTGTGTCCAACCCTATTATAATATTATCTCCTAATGTAGAAACAACGGCCTTGTCACCAACATCCTTAGGAGGGTGATGGTTGGGAGGCTACATCCCTCCAAGCGAAGGAGCAGTGTTTGGAGGATGTCCTCATTGTACCATTCCTGACAATGTAAGTGCACAATCGCTACACAGTGAGGAATCGCTGTGCTTCACATGCCAAGTCTACATTCTGGCAGTGGAGTTACGACCATTCCTTCATCATACTGGAGGTACGTGACAAAAGCCACGTGGCTTATGATAACCTGCTTATATTCCAATGTGTGTTTTCATCCAACATGCCATCTCATTTGAGGACCACTTACTCTCTTTGAGCATCTTAGTATACACAGTAAACTTCTCTGCTTATTTTGATTTGCAGTGGATTCTGCATAATTGCCTTCCCCATCTGCAATTACATTTTGTTACAATCTCACTGTTTTAGGGTAAAGTAAAGCTCCATAAAAAAGTTGGGAGAGGTGCCTTGGTGGTACAGTTGGTTGAATGTCTGACTCTTGGTTTCAGCTCAGGTTGTGATCTCAGGGTCATGAGATGGTGCCCGGCATGGGGCTCTATGCTCAGTCCGCTTGGGATTCTCTCTCTCCCTCTGCCCCTCCCGCTCATGCTCTCTCTCTCAAATAAATAAATAAATGAATAAACCTTAAAAAAAAAAAAGCTGGGAGATACAATCCCATCAAGAGGTTTGTTTTAAATTAATACTGTATCTATTTTTTGTCTTCTGGTAGGTCTTGTCATGTGTCTTGACCATTCTTGTGATGAGTATCTTTTATAACGTACCACACAGTGCTCTGGCACTTATGTGACAGAATATCCTCAGCAATATCTTTGAGCTGACACAGGAGTTATGACATCATTCTGCAAAAGAAGTTCAAAAACATTCATTTATATGCCCACATTGGTAATGACAGGTCTGGGAAATGGTCAAATTTTGTCCACGATTCACATACTTGAAACAGAGTTTCTTCTTCTCCACAAAGCTTGCCAAATTGCTTGGGGGCAGTCATGAGGGAAGTGGCACTGCAAGCTTTATTTATTTATTTATTATTTATATACATACATACATACATACATATATATATATATATTTATTATTTCCTGACATTCATTTTTCAGTCTTCAAAGTAGTGCTTGCCAGAGACAATTTCTTGGTTTAATAAAGCAAAGTCTGCCAGGCTGTTATAAGACATTTAGGTGAATTCTTCTTTATATTATCTTCTGAGAGATTTTTTTCATTATTATTGTTGTCTCTGAAGAAGTCTCAATGGTTCTTGAAACCAGTGTACTGAAGGAACATTAACCAGTATCGTTTAGCTGCAGAGGTTTCTTGCAACTTCAACTATAATATAATCTAAGAATCAATATTCATAATAGTCCCAAGTCATTCAACAGGCTGTTATGTTGAATAAACTCAGACACCTGAGTACTTTCTCCTCTAGAAATGACTGCTTCAGCTGGGTCCATGGTCACTGGGGAACTTCTTTGTGCCAGGCTGCAGCCAATGTGCATCTGGATCCCACCACTTTCCCTCTGCTTTCTTCCTTGCTTAACTTGACTTCAGACTTCTGGCCTCTAGAACAGTGAAAGACTGAACTTCT